CCCACTCTTACCCCACCACCCCACCCTCTTTGTCGGCCACTGTAACAGCCACTACCATCCAAGTAGCTCCCGCTTTCACAGTTTCAAACCTGTGCATCTCTCTTCGTCTCTGTGGGCCACATCTAAAAAGCCTGGTCTGTTCCCATGGTACGGCATTCTCCTTGTGACCAACAACGCGGACACTCCGGAAATCCTAACTCTTGAAACGAATAGACTGATGTACAAAAAGTGACCTCGGCTTTACGGGATCAATTGACTTTAATTCCGGTGTATTGAAACAGAATTCGGGTGTGTTTGTATCATAGAAATACCGCTTTTGCTGAATTAAAATGTGAAAGTGTGATGAAGTTGGCCGTTTATCTTTTACTGAAACCTCCACGAAAGAGAAGTAATTAAGTCTCACTGCATTTTGTGCGATTCTAGACACAGTCACTTGTGTAGAAAGTTTGAAGAATATTTTTCAATCACTAAATTTGAGTAAGACACAATAAGTTCCCTTTTTTCCGAGGGTGATGTCGTAGATATTTGTTCCTAGGAAGATTACGAAATCAAAATTATCAAAATGGATGAGGCAAAAGAAACTCATCCAGGGTCCGAGCAGTCTCCTGTTGCTGCAGTCATCGAGCCAAAGAAGTCTACAGCCTTTTCTATTAGGGACCTTTTAGGTCTGAAAAGTCATCATCAACAGCAGCAACAGCAACATAGACAGCACCAGTCTTATCATCGCAGCCAAAACGGCAACGAAAATAATGGACAAAAAGATGGCGAATCAACTCTTGATGTTCAACGAGATGAGAATTCTTCGTCTGACTCAAGTTCCTCCAGAATTTCTGTGGACTCCAATGGAAACAACGTGATATTGGTTGAAGACAAACACTATAGACCATTTGAACACGATTCGATTGGGACGAGACATGGCGACCACGAAAGTATAGGAGAAGGGGTATGTGATATCATTAATGAGAAATGTCGTGATGCTTGCGGGAATTCGAAAACGTCACATCTAGAGGAATTGAAAGTTTGCGTAAAATCCCCGGAAACAGCCACTCCCGAGGTATCGGGGTCAAACATATCGGCTGGTATCTTCTCACCTGTAGGGATCTCTGAACTGAAGCCGGCCCGTGCCAGAACACCTGGCGATGTAAGGGACACGGTGGACTCGAGACCGGCCAGGGAACAACATCGGCTCAGTTTGATGTCCATGGGTGTCCGGAGTTCTCAGGGTGTCATGGGGGTTAGTGACCACTCCCTGGAAAATGACCCCAGGTGGCGTGGGGCTAGGATGGACGCTATCCATGGACAACACAGCGGTCAGCAAATGATCAATTTTAACATCTTTTCAACCGGGCACGGGAATAGAGATCTCTTCGGATGCGCTGGTAAGCTTGGCTTTATAGATGGTGTCTAATCTTGTTTAACCTGTCACAATATTTTAAAATAAAGTGGGTAAAAGTAGCCTATATCTTTTTAAGTATGTTGTTGTTTTTCGTCAAAGAAAATGACATATATTTATAATTATATATCATACTTGCAGAGGCATATAGATTAACAAGCTGTTCACGTGTTTTTACTCCATAATAATTTGAACAATCATTAATCACAGAGCTATTTTATACGCCCCACCTGTACTGGGAAAACTCGTTTATCAATAAACGTTTATTGAAATTAAAGACAAAAAAATGTCATTCTATAGTTGAAAACCGAATAGAATTTATTAATCTATCTGAGCAAACTGTGGACTCTAATAACTAATCCTGTATATACTCACACTGAGGGTATCTGACCTTGGAAGACATGGTTGAGAAATAAACGGATGTATGTTTTCGGCTTACATTTTTTTACGGGACGTTTATTAATCAATTCAAGTTAAATAAAACCCTCAAACAAAGCAACAATAACAACAACCCCCCCCCCTGAAATAATCCCATTTCACTTTCTACTCCCCTTATAAAGAAAACCCCAATAGGTTTTGGAAAGCCAAACTTTTTTTCTGTCACAAGTAGCCTACTTTTTTCTCATCATAATACATGAATGACATCAAACAATCTTTAAGCGCCAGGAAGATTTGATCAATAGCGTTATAGTAATAAGAACATATCAGACTAAAACAAAAGAATAGAAGTTTCATCTTCAAGCGGTAACCTCCAAAAGTAAACTTATGATATGGATTAATGTCGTTTTATATTGTTCATGTGTTCCCATTTTTTCTATTGGGAGATGTCTGTGTACGGAAAAGGTAACCACAAAGCGAGTTTTATTTGTGTGTGTTTTTATTTTGTTGTTGTTGTTGCTGCTTATTTGCTTTATGTTAATTGTTTATTTTGTTGTTATTGTTTTGGTTTTGTTTTTGCTGAGTTTTTTTTATAAACAGAGTAGTTAAGAGTACACCAATCTCTGTTAATACCCGCATTCTCTTCTCCTGTCTTTGCCTCCGAGAAAAGTGCCTGAAGTAATGAATGAATCGAGTCATCTTTATGACAAAGATAGTACTGTATTAGCATATTATAATCAACAGTATTGATATGAAGAGGGTAGAACATACGTGAATTTAAAGAAGCATTTTTTGTAGTTTAAAGGGTTGTTTCTTCACTTGATATTGTCTGCAGACTGTTTTAACTAACAGAGATGCTGTTGGAGCATGGATTTCACCGAGATATTTATTCTTTAGTTATATGAATTTTAAAAACAAATTAAAGTCATATTCAGGTAGAAATATACAAGCAGTATTTACATGTATTTCAGAAATAACCAATAAAAATATCAAAAAAGGTTTTACCTGCGCCCGGGTTCAACGATTAAAAAAAAACCTCAAGACAATATGATTGACTACTGACAGCTTTACGCCACTATCAACCGAATTTTAATAATTCAGGAGGTGGGATACTTTCACATTTCCTTCCAGAGTCGACCTACACTAGTTTGTATATTGCAGGAAAAGGAAAATCGTCGATGAAATAAACTCCCCTATGCGCGTGGAAATGGAACTCCCATCTTCCACGTACTTCAGCGAAGAGTGTAACCATTGCACCATAGACACTAGTCATAACACTGTTGGAGAAACAATAATTACTGACTTTCATAATTCTTTGGTAACTTTTTGAATTGATTATATTTTAACGTTTTCAAAATTATGGGTTTAAGAAAACTCTTTTAAATAAATAATATAATATAATATAATATTTAAGATTTATAAAATATTTCTTTTTCTTTCGACAACGGATATAATATTGTAGTTGCGTACACACCAGAGCAGACTTATTCAGAAACAAAAGTGTCCGAAAGTATTTCATGTATCTCAAATCATCACTAAAACTTAAGCAACAACCTCCAAACGATAAACACTCCTTCCCCGACCCTCAAAATCCCCTGCTCTACTCAAGTAGATAAAAAAAAGCTTCTTGTCCTTACAAGCGTGGTTTTGCTCCTGATGAATTTTCGTAAAGTTTAATAATAATTGTTAACCTGATATTTGACACAATTCGCTCAATCCATCCTTTGTTGTTAATATCTATGAATTCGTCTCCTACTTTTACAGCCACCATCTATCTATCTATCTATCTATCTATCTATCTATCTATCTATCTATCTATCTATCTATCTATCTATCTATCTATCTATCTATCTATCTATCTATCTATCTATCTATCTATCTATCTATCTATCTATCTATCTATCTATGTTTATAAATATCAATCTATGTATCTATCTATGTATCTATATATAATTCAATTCAACAATATACCATATACATTATGAACAAATTAATAAATAAAATGTATTTTTAAAAATGACAAAAATATTTATGTAGTAAAGTTTAAATGTAATCAAATGTGATTGTATTCTGGTTGATGAGGAGCTATTAAGACCATAATTTCCAACTCCTCACAGTCTTCTTTAGTTAGTTCCGACAATATATTATGGCAGCAAAAGCTTACAGACGAACATCTCATGAAGTATTCTCTTTATCCGAGTGTTTATTCATTCAATTGACGAAAAATAATAAAGCTAGGAGAGAGAGAGAGAGAGAGAGAGAGAGAGAGAGAGAGAAAAGAGAGAGAGAGAGAGAGAGAGAGAGAGAGAGAGAGAGAGAGAGAGAGAGATAGAGAGGGAGAGAGGGGGGAGAGAGAGAGAAAGGAAGGAAGGAAGGGGACAAGAAAGACACGGAAAAAAGAATCGCACGAAAAGAGGAAGAAAGGCAGGAAGAATGGGGGGAGACTAAAAAAGCAGACTGAAACAAAGAGACAAAGAAAGAAAGAAAGAAAGAAAGAAAGAAAGAAAAAGAAAGAAAGAAAGACAGACAGACAGAACGTCTGAAAGGCAGAAAGACATCAGAATCAAGAAAGAAAGAAAGAAAGAAAGAGAGAACGAAAAGGGGATGAAAAGGTAAGGAGGAGAGGAAAAAGAGGAATGAATGGAAGAAAAGAAAGCAAAAGAAACAACGATTAGAGAATAAGAAGAAATTAAAGACAGAAAGAAAATAGAGCAGAAAGATAAAGCGAATCAACTGAAAAAGATAAGCAAAGCAGAATGAAAGAGGTTTTTTAAAAGGCAAAAAGGCGGGGGAGGGGGGAGGGTGGAGAAAGGAGGATTGAGGGGTGAGAGAAAAAGGAAGGACAAAATTAGAAAGAAAAAGAAATAGAAGGTGGAAAAAAGAACGGAAGACTGGAGAACAAGACGGAAGAAAAAAGAAGGAAAAAGAAAAGAATAACTTTTCTATCCCAACGTGAATTTTTGTGGGGTACTAGACGAACCTTCAGAATCCATAAGCTTCCTAGTTAATGATTATCACTTGCAACATAGAAAGACAATGTTAGCCATTTTGTTATCAAAGAACACAAATTGCAATATTATAATGCAGCACCATTGCTCACTACACTACATGGAACATTGGTATTTTATTATTGTGTCTTATTTCTTTTTTTTTCTTTCGCTGAAGTCAGCGGGGCCAACCGAAATACATGCCCTTAAAGCAGTTTCACTACCAGTGACTGACATTGTTAAAAAAACCCAAAAAAAACACCTGTGTTCTTTGGCAATGTATTCACCTGTGTCACATCCGTAAAGCGCCCCCCCCCCTTTTATTTTTTTTTAGCTCCCGAGGTCTAGATATCTCTTTCTCTTTCCCTCTTTTTCTCTCTCTCTCTCTTTCGCTCACTTCCCTCCCCCCTCCCCCCGCCTTTCCAGTCTGTCTGTCTGTCTGTCTGTCTGTCTGTCTGTCTGTCTGTCTGTCTGTCTGTCTGTCTGTCTGTCTGTCTGTCTGTCTGTCTGTCTGTTTGTCTGTCTCTTTGTCTCTGTCTCTGTCTCTGTCTCTGTCTCTCTCTCTCTCTCTCTCTCTCTCTCTCTCTCTCTCTCTCTCTCTCTCTCTCTCTCTCTCTCTATCTATCTATCTATCTATCTATCTATCTATTTATCTATCTATCTATCTATCTATCTATCTATCTATCTATTTATCTATCTATCTATCTATCTATCTATCTATCTCTCTTGACAAACGTTGTACATGTCCAATCTCTGCAGTACCAATACCCAAACATTACGCTTTCTCCTGTCCAGTTTCTTCCCGCCCTCCCCTCTGTCATAATTTCATTCGTTTCCTTTCCCAGATAGCGCGGACAAGTCAGGTGTGGAGAGTCCGGTGTTTGAGCATCTGCACCTACCTGGGCAGGGAAAGAAAAAGAAAAAGAAAAGACGTCATAGGTACGGTATCATCACACTGACTATTTGTACATTTGTTTATTTGTTCATTCCTGTGTTTATTTGTTTGGTAGATTGGTTGGTTGGTTGGTTGGTCGGTCGGTTGATTGGTGGTTTTTAGGTTAGTTGATTTGTAGGTTGGTTATTTGGTTTGTTTGTTTGTTTGTTTGTTTGTTTGTTGGTTGGTTGGTTGGTTGGTTGATTGGTGGGTTGGTTGGTTGGGTGGTTATTTTTTTGGTCGGTTATTTTTTTGTTGTTGGTCGGTTATTTGGTTGGTTGGCTGACTGACTGGCGTAACTCAGACACCCCGAGACAAAGTTGTGGCCAAACTGAAACATGGAGAAAAGCAAGACCTGGAGTTGAAGTAACGGAAGAAAAGCATTAGAGAGCAATGATCCCCCCCCCCCCTTTTCCATTTTTCATATGCAATCCCATTTTGAGTACCTGGTTCCCCCTTCACCTTGAAAATGAAAAAGAGAAACAAACCTAAACAGGAAATACAGTTGTAGCAAATGAAAATAAGCAAAAATAAACTAGTTGAAAAAATGCAAATATAGAGACCAAAAATTGATGTTGCCCCCGCTCCCTTTGCCCCCTTTCCGTTCCCTTAGTAGCCTTTTCTCCCCGAATAAAAAATTAAGATTAAAACAAGAAAGACGATAACTTCCAACTTATAGCAATTTTTATACGTGCTCACCACATGATAAGAACACAAGCTTGACAAAGATAATCGTCTCCAAGTAAATCATGACTCTCAAGAACTTTTACCAAATAATTGAATAATTGATAATCATCCTCTTTTAATTTGATGAATTTTTGTGCGTGGAAAGCTTTCCCTTCTGTAGGCGATTAATTTAACTCTTTATCAGTTCACGTGTATGTGTATGTCCGTCTCTGGATCGGTTTGTCTTCTAGTGAAATACGATATTATAACCACTGTGCGGGTTTAGGGTTCATGTACATTCACATTGATGGGCCGATTTAAGCCCTGTGTGGATAGTTCAATCTACCTATCTACTTAAATAAAGATCTAGTATACTTTTTTCTTACATTGTTATATAAATTTTTTAAAAATAAGACAAAGACCAATTTTTTAAAACAACACTTTTAATGATTCTCCTTCGGAAATTTGGGTTAAAATAGCAAGCGTAGAACATTCCTAACGTGATTCAGTTTAGATCTACTACAACGTAATATGATACGCAGTATCAGATTAATACTAATAACTTAACAATCTTGACATTGCACGTCGCTAACGAAGATTGCCCTGATTCCTATTCAGTTATTGTGTATGTATGTATGTATGTATGTAAGTATGTATGTATGTAAGTATGTATGTATGTATGTATGTATGTATGTATGTAT